TATTTAAATTTATTTGATTTGATTTTTTACTTGGGCAGGCCACATTTTAAATTTTATTTTACTGGTATTTGTTTTTACCAAACGCTTGGGTGATACGAAGGTGGAGAATGGTTGCACATATGGAGGTAATTCCTGGAATTACATTAGAGAGGCTTCAGGCCGAAATACAATATATAGTGTTTTTATGTTTTGTCTGATATTTATGTGGTATTCTGTTGCTGTAAGTAATGCAAGATTTGTTCTGAAATTCGGTGTATTGCGTGCACCCCAGGGTTATTCGTTTTTTGCTGAAAACACCCCTAATTGTTAATGGCAGAGTCGAACTAGTTTCACTCCCACTCGGTAATCTGCATTGTCGCCTGAATGAGAGGTAATTAAACACATTTTCCAGACCGTAACCGTAGTATGTAACAGCCAATTTTAACAGCCTGTCACGTGATTTTACTCAGCATGTCATTTTACGCAGGAATAATTTGGAGTAGAATATGTGTGGGATTGTATCAACAGAGATGAGTAATAAATATTATCTATCCTTCTTTTGCATCGCTGATCATTTCTGTTTTAGTATACTGGTTTGAAAATGTTGAATTTGCATGATTTGCGATGTTTTTTTATTGAAAAACCCCTAATGGTCGAATCCCGAGTTTGAAGGAGAATGTAATATCGCATCACGTGTTTCGTTGGAATACAATCGTGAAAGACGGGATGACTTTCGTCGACAGCGGTCGTCGCTTAGCTGCACAGTAATACTTCGCTTGTGATGTTGCTTGCTAGCCATGAATTACTGCAGAGGGATCTTCCAAGAGCCCTTCAGGGGTTTATAAAACTCAGTTTCTAGGTGGTCAACAAGTTCTCTCAATCATAGTATTCCACGTGGTGTACATCTAATATGCCAAAAATGTCGCTGAACGGTTTGAACCGAATAAAATTAGCAGACGAAAATTTGTTTACAAAATAAAAATCGTTTGGTATCCTATGGAAACAAGCCAGTAGGCTGGTTACCGATACGCTCTGCTAAAAAAACACAAGCAACATGTTTCCGGCTGTTGCCATGGTAGAACATGAACGTGAAGCTAACGTCGGTTTATAACTAAAACCGGGCACCATAAACAAAGTTCGAAATAAAAAAAAAACATTCAGTCTTTCTTAGAAGTCACTTTATTTTATTGCTAGGACGTATTCTGCTGGTAAATTTATTATTTACAACCCTTTTGCGATAGTATTTTCTAGAATGGAGGCAGTATTTTCATTCCATTCAAAGTTCAATGTTGCGCTGGGATTACGTTGATACAGCACAGGGAGTCCAGGAACTATTATCAACTGTACGCACTCTCTATGAGCGGGGGGGGGTGCGTATCTAGTGTGAAAAATAGACAAGGGATGAAGGCTTCTAGCGAGCTCATATTTTTTAAACTGGAAAAAAAGGACGAACAGAATATACGTGTACGTGTATTTTTTTATTATGTTTGTCATCCTGTTTCGTTTCGTGTTTCGTTTCGTTTCGGGCTTGTAATGGTTGACATGTTTAATATGTTTCAACCAATCAGAAGACAGGCTAATTAACATATCAACTTAGACCCCATCTTTGCTAGCCAAGGTCTAAGTTTATTCGGCCAAGCTTCTAAACAGGGACCTATAAGTCGAAGACACGGGACAGTGCAATTCGGACGATGCTGAGACCCCGTAAACCGGTTTATTGTTGCTCAGCTGCTTCACCCACCGTATGGCGTATATACAAGCCCGAATCTGGCCGGTAATGTGAGGGCGCTCACACTGATGGCAAGTCTGTTCGGAATTCGCGATCACATGACTTTTGCGTTCACCCCTCGTTTACGCAACTTATGTTTATTTTTAAATTTGTTTTCGTCGGAATCGCAACAGACTGCAAGCAAGTCTAATTGTTTGGTAACTATTTGCTGCAAATGCAACAAAAATCAATATAAAAATATTACCCACACAGCATTCTACAGGTTACTTGTTATTTTAAGTAGTTGATCTGAACTTCAGACATGTTGTGGAAGTTAAAGTAACACCAAACCTTTCAACCTTTCGACATTATAAATAATGTCATGGCTTGATGCAAACAATGGTGGCAATTCAAAACTCGCTTTTACGACAGTTATTTCTCGCTCAACTGTGAGTATGGAGTTGACTAAAAGAAAAAGTTTTTCTTCAACTACAGTGAACAATCATTTTGAAATAAGAAGTTCGAACCAACAACATTAACTACAGCAAGTAGAGTCTTCATTGGTCGGACTACTAATCTCAATGGAGTTTCAGGAGCAAGACTTGTTGCTTCGTAAACCATTTAATTACATGGTTTTATGTGGCTTATTTAACAAACAATCATGCCTTTCACTGAAGGCAATATGGCTCAAACCAGTGGGCGTTTTCATACTCGTTGGCTAACGCTTTTTAAACTTACCTGTTGCCGATGTTCTTGATGTAACCGTTTACAGAGTCACTGGTCAAATAATATAGTTGGGCAATCGCAAAGATAAACCCCAGGAAACATGTGCATCCAAAGCACTTCCTCTTAGAGAAAGATACGTACGACATGGCGGATGCAAAATCGACATGTGTAATACATAGTTCATAGGTCAATTGTATAACCTGATATCATAAAATACGGGAACAACACGCTAATAACCTAGCAACAAACACCCGAGTTGCTGAGACAGTTACTCGGGTGCGATAAAATGTCGACGGCATGTGGAGTTTGTTTGGAGTTTTTTTGGATATGGGTCGTAAATAAGTTAGATGAGCTAAATTAGAAGGCAATGCCTGAGACAAAGTACTCATAAATATTTCTTACGCATGGACCTATTTTTTTCTTTTTCACGATGTGTTATCTATATAGTCTATATTTATGACAATAAGCATATACTGTTGAGCTTCGTGGAATTGTCTTTATCGTCATATTTTAACAAGAGTATTCAATCTGGAATGGCCTCTTCACTTCGCTTTACGCGAAGGAATATGCAAATGTGACCTTTATGCAGTCTTAGTCTTATAAAAACAACTGGTGTCCAGTTCAATTTTCAGTTTCGTCATTTTGTCGAACTTTATAGAAGCGTACATGATTCATATATGAACGGGGAGTCATCATCGAGTCGATAGGCAGTCGCCAAAGTACTACAAATCCCCGCAGACGGTAACACGGAAGTGGCTTTTCAGGGTGGTCGAAACGTTATGATGTGTCTCTCCCGCTTGATACGGTGCGCCAGTAATTGAAAGTAATACTTATACTCGTTTCCGTTCATATTGTCCTATTGACTTATTTTAAATGATCACGAAAAGTGTGTATGGTTACTGTATGATCGTGCTATAGTAATGTCACGGCTTAATTGTCGTGTTTTTAAGCCTTCAAGTCAGGTACCAGTGATCGGAGGATTCGCCATCCTTTTAATCAAACAAAGATACACAGAGAATCGAATTGTGTCACATTTGGTCTCAGTTGCGTTGTATCTCTCTCATGACCGCATGAGAGCTTGCCACAACTAACTGAGATCGGCTTTATTCACTTTTTTAATTCTTAACCAATTAAGGTGAGTTTAAGAGCTAGAGGCGTAGCCTCCATACATTCAATTCGCATATAGCCAATCACACAAAGTATTTAACACGCCTCGATGTCTGATTAATTGTGCCTGATGTCGGGACATAATTCTCATAGTTATAGACGCCACGTTGTTTTAACCAACATTTCGTATTCGAAATAAACTAAGCAGCTCTTCCAATTTAACCCCTAAGCACAATATTCATAAGTCGTTGGAACGAGTGTCCGCTCCCAGCGACTCCTATAAATTGGTAGTTTCCAGCGTGAGTGGTAAACGTAGTAAGTTCCCGACTGTCTGGGTGTAAGTCTAATTGCAAATATCCGCTTTTTAAATCAAGGGTCGAGAAATAATTTGGTTTGGCTATCCCTAATGAATCAAAACAATCTACGATTTGTGGCAGTGGATAAGAATCTAACTTTGATATTGCATTCAACTTCCTATAGTCTACACAAAATCTATAAGGGCCCCCAGGTTTCGTGACCAAGACAACTGGAAAACACCATTCAGACACTGAAGGGGAAATTATATTTCCGTTTAGCATGTCGTCAATTTGTCTCTCTATTTCTCCCCCTTTTTAAGGAGTGACCCTGTATGGGGTCAGGATTTCCAATTAGTCTAATTTTATGTTGAATTACTTTCATGTGCAAATACGTCAAATACAAATACATGTGCAAATACGTCTCCATTCGCAATTAAGAATTTGTTTAATGTTTGATTTTGTTCGGGGTCGAAATCGGCACCGGTCACGTCCACATTACAATGGTCTATGTTTTCTCTAGGGTAATTATCTTGGCCAATTTCGTTCAAATTCAAGGGCTCCTTTTCTAAGCCAGTATCCGGGGATAAACATTGTATCATTCCGACTCTAATGCCTTGGTGAATTTAAATTTCCGCGTCCAATGGATTCATTATTCTATCTGGTACTTTGGAAAATTCCCTTGGCGGTCAATAACCCGTACTTAGATAGATTATTTACACATTTATTTTCTGCGACTACACCATTGGGGTAGTGTGACCGTGTATTACAGGTTACAACTTGTTGTGATCTAGCGGGTATTTTTACACTTCTCTGTGTCTATATTGGGGTTTTTGGTCTCAAGTGAAATTGATTAGTGTTGAGAAATTGATTACTGCTTTATATTCGGCAAGGAAATCTGCTCCAATTATCACTTTACTTTTGTATAAACAACAATATTAAACGGAATCGTAACTTTATTGTTAGCTATTTCTACCTTGACATAAATCTTGTCTCTGAGTAGGACTAATTGGCCATTTACGGTACATCTCGAGCTCCGAATGGGGGGATACTTTTTACAATTTCTCAAGCTTGGAAAATTTCGCATGAAACTCTTAAAATTACTGGTATCTCCGCACCTGTGTCTAATAGCGATCAAATATACCTGTCGTCTATTTTTATGTTAATCATATTGCTACTATCATTATCGGTTGAAATTTAACACAAAAGAAGACTTTCTTTTATTTCTTTTCTATGGTCAGGTCTATTTTCCGCCTCATCTAAAATAGACATCTTTCGTTTAAATTCTCTCCCTGCATGTTAGCTTTACAATTCCTAGCAATATGGCCCCTATTCCCGCAACTATAACAAATAATATCCCCTCTCCGTGCACTGTCTCTGCAATTCCTGGCAATATGGCCCTTTTCTGACAATTATAACAATTAATATCATAAATTTTTTTACGGAGGTAACATCCAACAGCAGTATGACCCTCCTTATTACAGATTTTACAAATTGGGATTGAATTAAATTTCTGCTTGCCACAATTAACGGAGATCGGCTTTATTCACTTTTCCAATTCTTAACCAATTACAGATGAGTTTAAGAGCTTAAGGCATAGCCTCCATACATTCAATTCGCATATAGCCAATCACACAAAGTATTTAACACGCTTTAATGTCTGATTAATTGCCCCCAAAATCAGGACATAATTCTCATAGTTATAGGTGCAACGTATTCAACAATTATAACCGCCAGTTATCTTCTTGCTATTCTCACTAACATGCAAATGAACGTTATCATGATAACGGATTATTCAGGGCTCACAATTGAAAGTCGATATGACCAAAGCGGCCTCACCTAAAGACATGAAAATATAAATCATGACAGTAACACAAACTCACACTACACGTGATTTTGTAAACTGACAGGTCAATCGATGTCTAAAAGTAGTTCCAGTCAGTACACATTTGTTTACACATTGTTATGTGGCATGAGTTACCAATCTTTATAACTAATTAAATAAGACTAATGTCCTGATCATAAACGGATAACCAAGTTAGGAAGTGAGGTTACACTATTTTAATGGGTTGTTCCCGTAATGTATAAAAGGGGTAACAGTTTATCTGTGCTCAGGCACAAAAAAATCATAAGTTGTCATAATTTAACTAAATATATCTTATCTCAGGTACGTTACATCCCCGTCAATGACATTTATCAGGCTACGGCTGATTGCAGCTACAGGTGGTGTGGTAGATTCCACGCTTTTTACATGAGAGAAACACATTATTAACACTTGCGGGCGTCCTTACTCGGTCGTTTAGCATTTTAAAAAAGGGTAAAAACTATGTATCCCGGAAATTCGCATGTTGTCCCTCAGATTGTATTTAATAAATGTTATTAAAACAAATATACAGTCGTATCTCTTCACTTCAACACCCAATCTAAACAAACTGAATATGCCATGTTTTTAAAAGGAGCAGACTAATTTACAAAACAAAAGGTTTACTGTCAAATTGTTTTTAAAGAACAATGGGCCATAATTATCTGGTATAATGGCTATATTATAATGGCCAATATAAGTATATGTTATTTGAGTGTTATTTCTAGATAGATAATATGTTTCTCTGAATTATTTGTCTCTAGAAGGTCAATGCAATGACAGTAGTCAATAAAATACAATTCTCATCCGCCTTTCTACATTCTACATTACGACATTCGGAAAGAGATTGTTTGCCTCATTATGCAGATTTCCCGTCGCATCAGTTGGATACGTTCCGACAGGAGTAGCGGCCGTTTTCTACACACGAAATTGTTGAGTTTATTGAATTTCATCTCAGATCTGAAAATATTTCAAACTGGTATATGATGACGGTTTGGAGATGAAACTAAAAGCAGAAAGATTCCAGGGAAAGATTGACTATATGTTGGGTGTTCTGGAAAACTGGCAACGAAACATCCGTTGTACGAAAAATGTAGAACGGGACACTCACAACCCTATTATTATTAATATAAGCTCAAATGCAACAAACGAAGTGAAATTTCTTTGACACAGTGCAAAATTTATCAAATCAATGGATTATACAACTCAACAAAACAGAAACAAATTAATGCTATTACAGTAGTTCAAGTTACATCAATCTTTTTTTTTCTTGTGTTGCCTGAAAGTCTTTTTCTTTTTTTCTTGTTCATCAACTGATTCATAACTATCATATACTGATGTAGAGTAGGTGATGGGACACATATACACATTCTTGTGTAACCTAAACAATAGTTGAGGTATATTATGGTAAACGTTTGTTTTCATGACTATGCGACTATGTAAAGAAAATGACCCCCAACAATTATTCAATATAAGCATATGCTTGGAAAAAAAACTTTGTCTGAAATGTCTGGTTCTGTTGAACAAATATATCTTTTTCTATATAGACATGTTTCATAATATTTTTTGTCATGACTGTGAGGAATTAATTTCAAAATCAGGAGAAAACTTCTAAATATATATAGAATATAATAGAACATTGTAGTTAAAATTCTTAATCAATATAAACCATACGTCTCGAACAAAGAATACTATGTCTGAAGTGTATACTATACTAGCATATTATTCAAACATAATACAACTACAGTAACTTTTTTAGACTAATTAGACAACGTCGTTCTGATTTTCAGTCACAAACGAAAACATAAGTACTTTGGGGGTTATACAAACACTTGGGATATTTTGCTGTTTTTTTTAGAGCTTAATGATTAGTCAATTACAGCAA